GGAACTGCTGAAATGGAGAAAATGGGATGCTGTTTAGAGAGCACAAAGTCAAAAGTAACATCCAACAAACTGAGATCAAGTTGGCTCCAAGCAATGAGATAAAGATTATTATTTTTTCATGTTTCCGCCGCTTTTCTTTCTTCTCTCATCCCCATTTCAATTGTTTCTTGTTTGCGAATTTGTTGCTGGGAAAGAAAGATGAACAAGGCGGTCAATTTGATTCTTTTTGAAATTATTGAAATCGCGCGTGGGCCTCAAAGGCATCGGTGGTGAGTTGCGGAGATTTTGGATTTCGTTGCTCTCACTACTACTGCGCTTTAGGTCAACTGCTTTTTCAATGTTTTCACCTCCTTTTTCAAAAAATCCATCTCACTCTCTATTCTCTTTATGTGTGTCTCTTTCATCTCTCTATCATTTTCTCTCTGTCTTTGACTACTCATCGTCTCATGTCCAAACAACCTTCTGTTGGACCGTCTTCCTCTTTTGAACTTCTCAGAGTCTACTATATCATCCTCGAAGGAATATTGTGAGAAAAAAATAATTTAAAACGAACACTAAAACTCCATTTAATGCCCTCAGGGCATTGTTTGATCCTTGTCAAGCATATCAAATTTGCACGAGAAACTGCCCCAACGTCATAATCTCGTTCGTTTTAGAGATTTTTTTTTCATGTTTTCCTTATTCGGAAGTCTTTTACTGTTCCATATATATGTTACAAATACACATTGAGCATTGAAACCTTCCTTTGCAGCTAATGGTTGAATGGGTGGACGATTGAGCTGTTCGTGTCCTCAGGCGTACTGCTATGGTTCTCTTACCGGACAAGAAGATATACGACTACGGTAAGATGTTTATTTTGATTTTTAAATACAGAATGAAGGGAAAAAACTTTTTTACGACCATCTTCCATTACGATTTCCATAAATGCAAATATTTCATGGAGGGGGGAGAACACAGTTTTATTGTTGAAAATCGTAAAAATAATATTGGACAACAGCTCTCCTTACGCAAACTTCGACAGTCCTCGACTGCATAGTTACAACAACTTCTTCCGCTTGTTCCGTCTTCAGCCATCATAATTTTAATTTTCGACATGATTGGTCGTATTTTGCCCTCAGGGCGATACTTCCTCTCCTTACTTGGCTTCATTTCCCACCATTTTTGATCAACTCTCTATTCCCTCTTTCTCTCTCTCTCTCCCTCCCTCTATCTCTCTCTTTATTATATGCGTATTTAACTCCCTTTGAGAATTTACTAGCTTCTTCATTTATTAACTTCATCTCTCACCCGTTTTGCGATTTCCTGCTCACTCTCATCATCTTCACGCTAACACGCTCACTCTAACGCTGGTCATTTTAATTCTTTTTCTCTCTATTTCAATCGTCTCTCTCCCTCTCTCTTCACCATTTGTTATCCATTTTCCACAATTTTCTCATCAGATGCACACACACATAGACTACCCATCTATATAGAATCTATCAACAGAATATAAATAATACATTATAATTTCTGAACAAACTTTGTAATTTTACTAATTTACATACATTCTCTACACACACACTGAATTGCGTACAACACTCTCGATTGAACGTGCAAACGAACGAGTAGAGGAGAAGAAGGATGGCAATGAGTAGAAGTAGAAAACATTCTTTTGCAAAGCTCTCTCGGAAAGCAAAACAAGAAGAGATAGAGAGAATTGGTTAAAAAAGTTCATTTGATGATTAGTAGATGCCGTGATCGATAGAGCTTCGTCCTCGTCTTCGCATGAGCTGAAGCCACAATTCATTTCTTCCATTTGCATATTATTTTATTGTGATGACAAGTATATATATATATAGAGAGAGAGAGAGTTATTTTCTATTTTTTTCTTACAAAACGATAAATTGCATTTCGGCTCCATTTTTTGTGTGTGATAGATTCAATAGCAAGTGTCTTTGAATTAATACTTTTTCATTAATATTTAATTCTTCCTTCCGACATATCCCGTAGTCGGGTGAACCTGTTCAATGTCAAGGCGCCTTATCTTTTCTTTTTTCAAAATTGCCAATTTGCCCAATATGAATGTCCTCTCATCATCCTATTCTCGATTAAATTACAATTTACAAAGAAAAAAATCATCTTCATTTTCTCCAATTCAATTGACGGCTGGAAACCATAATTTTCATCCAATTCTCTCTCTCTCTCTCTCTCAATCTCAATCTCTCTCTCTTCGAATGTTGTATGTTTGATGTCAGATGGCAACAAGTTGACATAAGAAAAACGAAAATTTACAAAACTCATCATCACCCGAATAATTGATTTCGGTTTTTTGTCTTCATTCTATCTCTCTCTTACTCGTGTCTGTCTCATGGCCTGAAGCACAATTAGCTTTCTTCAGAGACAGTGCCAAGAAAATCCTTTGCTTTTTAAAATTTCATCAAGGAGACACAGAGAGAGAGAGAACTTTGTGAAAAACAAATAGATGCTTGCATAGCAGTTGAAGTCATTAATAGCCACTGAGAAAATGAACTGTTTTCGGAACAGAAAGATTAAAGCAAAATAATAACAAAGGAATAAGCTGAGATGTAAGAATGTAATACTCACTTTCCCTCTCTCTCACTCTCTCTCTCTCAATCCTCTTAAACTACTTTTAAACACAAAAAAAGGAGGGAGGGAGAAGAGAGAGAGAGAGAAATCATTTTACTTCTTCTTGTTCTTCTCAATTTTTGGGCCTTTAAAGCGCACAAAACTGAATAAGGATTTTCTTCCTGCATCCAGCTAATTTTCTTTTTCTGTTCTCTCAGAATCACTCAATTCTTGCGTAGCTCCAAAGTTAGAGCTATCTCACATTCGCACATTTTCGTATCAACGACTAAGCGATTTATGCGAAGTCCATTCAACTCATCCATTTCCAGCATAATGATTTCCATCAATACGTCTTTGTTCGAAAAAAATAAAAGGAGTCTATGCAGCAATATGTCACAACGATACTTCTCACTCACTAACAATGCTAATTTCATTTTGTTTTAAACAAAAAACTCTTGTCAAACAGCTTTTTGTAAAAAAAAAGAAAAAAAGAAAGTGGAAAACCTACCTCTCTGTCATCAACCGTTCACCACATCAACACAACATCAAAATGAAGCCTCATAGCTTTCACTCCACTGATTATGCTAATTACTCGCGTCAACTTTCAAATCGTCGATTAGCATTAGAGCACGCTATAGCACACGAGTTCAAGCATTCTTAATCCATGTGCATATGTGTGTGATTCTCATTCTTGACGTCATTACTTAACTAATTGCAATTTTAAACTCATATTTCAAGTCTATTTTGTATAATCTGAAAGTTCTTATTGACAAACTGTCCAGAAAACTCCTCTTCCTACTTAACGTTTATTTACGTAAAAGATTATTTGAATTTTGAGTTAAAAATGAACTTTTTGAAACATTTTACGCCAATTTCTCGTTTTTCATTGTTACATCTGAAAAAAGGTCTGGCACATTGATCAAATATTATTTACTTATATAGTAAAGTCAACATACTCATTTGAATGAGCTTTCGCTTTTGCTATTAATCCTTTCTTTTACCCATTCTCCCCCCCCCCCTCTCTCTCTCTCTCTGGAAGTCGGTTGACACGTAATCGGGTCACGTACTTTAAGCTTTAAAAGAAGAAATTTTCATTGATTTACATATTCAAAGGCATTTTAAGCCTTAAATTGACTCGAAAGCTGAAATTACGTTTTGAATTTTATAATTTTTCGCGCGCACACACAAACACACTTTCACGAAGTTTCAGTTTCATACCTTTCCGAATGCATTCTTTCCAAACTAGAGCTGAAACCAGCAGTCGCCGCTAGTGCCACAAGTACGCTTGATCATGAGAGTACATTGAAGACGCGCATAAGCTTTTTCTCTTTCTTCTCTCCTCAAGAAATTTGATTATTTAACTCATTTTATGGCTTTTATGGCATTTAACTGAAAGCCGGTTTGTTCCAACGTCATCATTAACTTCTTTTCAATTTTTTTTGTTCACCTTTTGCCACTTGAGACACTCGTCAGTCATCCTCGAGGATGTCGTTTCTTTCCTTATTTTTTTGGTACAAAAAATAACATTTTTCCGTTCTGCTAGCTGATCTGCCACAGGTGTCTATTTCACTTTTTATCATTTTTTATCAGACGACAAATCATTTTTGAGTTCTTAACGACTTGTCATATCTTCGTTTGAAGGTAGTTTTACAGCACAAGAATGCTTTTCGAATGTTTTCATTGCAGAAAGTTATTTCTCGCCCTCTCTCTCTCTCTCTCTTTCTCTCTCTCTCTCTTTCTCGATCCAAACTGTTATGATCGGTTTTTTTTTCTGTGAGTGTGTGTGTGTGTCACTTTCCATGTTTTCCAAATTTGGCAGAAGCTGAAGTAGCAAAGAAGATAGAGGAGAAGAAGGATGAAGAAGAGGAAGAGATTATGATTAAGAGTTTATGAGGAGACAAAAGTGAATGACATAATTAGCGACTATTCAGTGGAACGCTTTCTGACATCATGAATAGCCTCCACCCCTCTCCATACATCGTTCAGTCTTTCTCTCCATACATCTCTTCCTCTATCTCTCACTGTTTTGGCTTCTCTTTTCTTGAGATCTCATCTGATTTTATCACTTCCTCCTTCTCTCCCCTCCTTAACGTTCCTGTTCCTCATTTCGCATCAAATATTTTCAGTCATTTTGTTTTTTTTTTCATTTCGCTTGTGTTTTCTCTCGCTGCATGTTTCTCGTGAATATAATGATGATTTCTCAAACTAAATAAGAGCTTTTCCCATTTATTAGCACGTCTAGGACCACCCTAAGCCTGCTGCAGCTTGAGGCATTGCCGGAAGGGTCTGTTCCAAGCCTAGTTGCTCTCACTATTCATCAAAATCCATCCTCATCCCATCCGTTCGTTTCGAAGTATTTCATTTTCACTATCCTTATGGATACGTTATCATATTTCAATAGAGTTTATCTCCCCTATCACTAAAAGTTAATCGTAATGATGCGGTAAGTGAAAACATGGGAAAGGTCATGTAACGTTGCTTCATCCGTCTCAATTTCAGAATACATGCTGAGCTGTTTGAGCTATCAGCTGACGGCAAAAAATGGTTGATGGTAGAGCCGCGTTTGCTATACATATGTTGTCAGAAAGCGGAAAATGGCGATACGATCGTTCGAGCTGCTTCTTCTACCGGAAGAAACATCTTGGAGACTGTCATCATCAAAGGTTCGTAATCATTTCAAATTTTTTTTTTGATTTTTGTGTGGAAGTGGATGTTCCATTGTTTAACCACTGACTTCTCCTCAAATTTCATCGTTTTTGATGAACCGACTTTGTGCAGACGTCCATATATGGTGATGACTATGTAAATTTCTTTTGATATATGATGTCGGCATCGGCTTGTTGAAGTGTATTTCATCTGAAAACTGTGAAAAGAAGTGAGAGAGAAGAAAGAGGAGAAGCTTGGCAAAAGATAATGGATGAATTGAAGGTTCAAACGTTTGTGGGGCAACAAAAGATTCTTTTCCTACATGTCCGCTACCACTTTTGGCTTGGCTGCTTGAAAAATCTTCGAATTTGCATACACTTTTTCTCGTATATATCTTGGCCTTTACAACCCATAGTTTCGTTCTCTCTCACTCTCTGTATTTTCTTTTCGCGTTTGAAATCTATTCACAAGGGATTTCGCTACGAACAGCGAACAGCCCACACAAATATTTCATTTCAATTCATGATTACTGCATTGCCAATTTCTTCCTTCCTCTTCATTTTTCTTCTTCTTTTTTTTCTTTCTCTTTCTGTGCTTCTTCGCCTTTTAAGTCAATCCGTTAAATAGCACAAGAAGAGAAGGAGAACATGCAGATGAAAGGAAAATATGGAAAAAATTGTTTGACATCGAACGGCAGAGAACATGAATCGTCGCGACAGCCGATATAAAAAGAAAAAAACACTTGACTCACACGACACTTTCTTACTGGTGGCGATGATGATGAAGGTGAAGTTTAAATGAATCAAATCCAGTTACTCCTAATCGAACCAACCGCTTGATGCGCTGTCTTGAAAGCAAAATGAATTGAAAATTAAGTTTCACGTAAAACTCGTAAACGTGGGAACAATACGCGCGGATGCGTCTTAACAGCATCTGCATGATGTTTACAACCTAATAATGCAAATGAGGCGATAACTTTTCGAAATATTTTTCTTTTCCTCCGCTCGTACATATCGCTACTGCAAAGCCAGTTCACTTTTATATTTTATTGGACTTTTATTGGATTATTTTTTTTTTATTTGCTTAAGACAATTGAACGTTGGATGAGGAGAGATGAAGTGGGTGAGCGAGAAGTCTATCAGATATCTTTTGAGTTCTAATTGATTCTCCTTCAATTATAGCCATTAACTAGCGATTTTAAATGCGTCGTCCTATTTACTTCCTTAACTATTCATAATAATCGAATATTATACATTTCTGAATGTGTGTGTGCTTGATCATGTATGAATAGAAACGTCTTCATTTTCAAATTGCTTACTATAGCTTCGGCTCATCTCTAAATACTTCTTGAGCCATCAATGGCGGTTTTGAGAAGTAGTATGGGTGAGAGTGTTCTTGTTGGCACAAATGCAAGCTCAAACCTCGAGCGATGCGCATCAGATGAATGGTGAAGTAGGAGAGGAAGAAGAAACAAAAGGGGATCTGTATGCCGTTTTTACTTTCTTTTTATTCTATATTGTCGTTGCAGCGAAAAACGAGCACACGCTTCGCTTCAAAATCGACCAAGAAAGTTAATAGACTTGTGTATCTGTTGCAATTGAGAGAGGCGAAAGCGAGAATGAACTTGAGAGGCGATGGAAACGTGAGAGCAAGGTAAAGCTCATAGGCGAAAATCCTTTTTGATGAGAATTGTTGAGAATAAAAATAGGCAGTCAAGTCGTCTCGCTAGAACAACCTTGTGTCATTTGTTGGGAGTAACTTCCGAGCGGAAGCTTTCCATTTTTCAATTATAGGCTAGATCAAGCAATGTGAAGAAGTAATTCAATATTTGTCAAAAATGCCAAGTGATTTCACATCGAGATCGCTCAATTAATTTCCTCACTGATTTTCATTGGGCACAATGCGCATCTCATCTCTCTCTCTGTGGGTATTCCCGCTCTTCTTCTCTCTCTCTCTATCACTTTCTCTCTCTCTCTCTCATCCTTGTAATATGTGTAGTTGTCCATTATAATTATCTAATTATTACTGTTGTCGAGAAATGATTAGCTTTCGATTGGCCTTGGTTCAATCCTGTAAATTAACGAGCGTAAAGTTATGTCACAAGAGTGTTGATGAAGTGAAGTGAATTAAGCTGTATCCAGCTTGAATCCGTATGCGACATGTTTATAAATTAAAAACATGAAATATCTTGTGTCATTAATCAGAAAAATATAAGAAAAAGTCCCATCTGTTGTTCGTCTGAGCGAGCATCTTCTCATTCGCTTCTAGTCGCCACGTGCTTACACACTCACATACACAGCGCGTGAGCTTTTTAGAAATCAGAAGTCATTCATTAGGTCTTCTGTGATCTCTCAGAAAGGTTGCATTCCGAACGTTCTGCTTATTTCTTGTTTTTCTTGTCCTCTTTTCTAATTTTTCCTTTCTTTGCAGGACAGAAAGTTGAAAAGATCTCCGACTGCTTCGTATTTTGGCGTGATGTTGGGGATCGAACTCTGGCTTTGAACACATTATCGGCTAAAGATACGACATCGTTCATGAGCTTCTGTCTAGATTCCATGCCAAGTGTTGTTTCCACAAATACAGATTATAATCCGTTGATGAGTAACATAACCAGCATGCTTCAACACAACATCATGGCTCAAGTGAGTTTGTTTACTTTCTATCGTAGTACATGACAGCCACTTGATAGGTAAAGATCATCGGAGCCTGGAATGGACAGCGACTAGAACGACGCAATGGACATCAAGAAACTACAATGGTGGGCTTATGTGTTGCAACAAACACAAAGTAACATTTGGATATTTCTAGGTTTCTGTTAATCCATTAAGCATGGTTTTCCATTACAACCACGGCTTAGTCAATGTAGATCTGGTTTGTAGTAGAAGACGTTCGTGTAATCTCAGGAATGTTTTAGGTGGAATGTTTCTTCGTAGCTTCAGTTAATCAACCCAACATCCTTCATCTCTCCTATGCGACAAACATATTTTGTTTCGAGTTTAGTGGCGAAGCCGAAAAATTCGTAAAGCAGGTCAGCTTTTAGTCCTAACTTAGACATTTTCAATTAGCTTGTGGTTATGTATACAATCTTTTCAAGGTTTTATGTATGTCATCGTTGTTGTTGGCCAGAACAACATGCACAGATGTGGCCATGATGTACTTGAAACGACAATTATCAAAACTGCACGATAAAGAACTATTGGTAAGTTGTAAAACAAATATTTTCATTTGAATTTATAATTTTAAAGCTTAAATACCATCAAGGAGAACGCGAAAACAAAGCGATGAAGGCGAAACTGAAACTTAAGGAGTATGCTGTCGAGCAACGTGTCGCAGCATTTGAAGATCGTCCTGCCGTCTCAACTTGTCCGGTTAGTTGTCGTAGCTCATTTATGATTTTGATGAATTAATGGGAACCTACAAACATGTTTTGTTCTTGAAAACTCAATTCCTTCCCAATTTAGTAGGAACATTAGATGACGATGTCTGACGTGTCTTTTACGACGATTGATAATGAGTATCACATGTCCACATCGAGATTCCTCCTTCTGTTCTCCTATCCTATATGTGCTTTTCATATAATTTTTTCCGTGACATATGGATCTTTTTATACCTCTCATGTGTTTCTTTCTTTTTCCCATCAAATAACAACTAACCCTTCCTGTGTCTCCTTACCACCTCTCTCTCTCTCTCTCTCTCTCTCTCGCCTTCTGCCAACCTTCTATTCGTCTCTATTTTTTCCATTTACCTTTTTCTGACTATTATCTCCTGTTTTTCGAACCTCAACTTCTCACTACCTCTTCCGTTTTCCGGTCTTGCTAGACGCTCCTGTGCACCACAGCTTACGAAGACGATTACGAGCAAGCATCACAAGCATTTCCTCATTTTTTTGCTCAATTTTTAATCTCCTCTTCCCCTCTCTCACTTTCCCCTTCTTCTCTCTGCCTGCTCCCATTGCTCCCGTTTATCGCCAGAAGCCGAAAAAAAGATATTTCAAGAAATCGTTGCTTCTATCGCATCTTAGACTCTTCCTAATTCTCCTACCAACTTTCTCACCCAGAATAGTGTCCTTTGTTTCAAACGACTTCTTACTCTCTCACTCTCTCTGTCTCATTTGCAAAAATCTAGGGAAATTCGCCAAGTTCTCATGAAAACAAAATCTTAGCGTTCCTCTCTCTCTCGTTCCATCCCTATCCGAATACTTTTCAAATCTGACCATCTGTATCACTTTTTATTCGGTGCTTTGTTTAAAAATTAACATTTTTTGCCTTTTGTCGTCCCTTTCATTCATTCATGGCCATGTATAGTGAAGATGTTGCCTTTTCCCTTCCGTCTTTTCATCCCTATGCGAAATCCCTTTGAACTTTTTGAATATGTGAGTTGACCTTTACCCTTCGGAAACATCCCACCTTTACCGTTTTGGCCTTTCTTCAGACAAATTATTTGTGTCAAGTCAACTATTAAATTTGAGTTTTGTTGTATTTCAGATTGTCTCGTCCGAACTGTTCTTATCTCTGCAAGACCAATTACTGCCCGAGTGTCCGCTCTCCAGTATATATCTCATTTACGCCAACATGTATAACTTCCGAATGTAAGCTTTCATATCCTTCATCAACTATTAATAACCCATTTATAGGTGGAGGAAGCCTGTGGAAGTGCGTGTTAATGATCTGAAAGCGCTGGTTTCTGTACAGCCAAATCAACAGCTAAATGATGCTGTTATGACTTGTGTAAGCACATCCAGTGACGTCATCATCCCCATTAGTTTGCCAAATGGGAAGACGACTTGCATTTCACACATTAATGAAGATCCAGTTGAAATACTGCAGAAGCTTTGTAGTCGTTTATCACTTCAACCAGAGCACTTTGAGCTTCGTAAACCCAATTGTCCTGAAGCTACATGGCGCTTAGTGCTCAGCGAAGAGTATGAAGTGGAGAAGAACCAAGGAAAACTCGGTCTAACTATTTATGCACACAACGATGGCGGAACGATACGGGCAGAAGTCAGAGGAGTCGCCAGTTATGCACCTGGCGGAGCTGCCATCGGTGATACCGTAATTAGCGTAGATGGCAGATTAATCGCGCAGGTTCGTTCACATTCTTCATGAAATTGAACACATGTCTATATTCGATTGTATTACAGGTAACTTCAGCAGCAGATGTTGAAAAATTATTGCGAGAAGGACGAATAATACGATTACGTCGACGTACGGCAACTTCAAACACAACCACGACGGCGCGTCAAGATGAAAAGGTTTCTTGTTTATCAAAAAAAGGTTCTTGTCATTAAAGGCAATTCGATGTTTCAGAAAACACGACACGTTTTGCCTCCAACTGTTCCCCTGGCTGAACTTCGTAGTAAGATGGAAGAAAAGATGGTCAGAGGTATTGACGAAATGCTTCAAACAGAAAGGAAATATGTTGATGACATTAATGAGGTTTTTTATTTCTTTTCTTCCTCCCACAAATTACACACAATTTCAGATGATTGAAAAGTTTCTCAGCATCAAAGTTGTGCGTGAAATAATGGAATCGGCACTAAGATTGCGAGATGTTCAGGTAATATATTCGATTGATAACTCGAAACACGACCGGTCTCCTCTAATCTCAAAACTGAGAAAATGAAATATGCTAATGTTCACGTGAGTCCACGTGATGCGTCATTGTGGGCGCCGGTCTTGTCATTCGCGTTTTTCATTCTCCCAGACGGTTGCACTCAAAACATCTCTGCAAATTCATTTGTTAAATTTGAATCTTCAGGTTGCTTTTCTGGATTCTCTGCAAGAAGCTGTTGGCGATGTAAATGTGATGAAATCCCAATCTCGTCCTCAAATTAGAGTAAGATTAACATTTGCGTGATGAAGCGAAAATATAATCTGTTTCAGGACGCTGTAATTCGAATCAGTGCTCTGTTTGTAAATAAATGTAGTGATTTTAAAATCTATGCTGAATACTCTGCAGCTTATTTGCGTTTACAAAGAGAGCTGTCGTTGAGTAAAGAATTATTGCTTCAATTAGAGGTGGGAAACAAAAGAAAATCTGTGTATTTCGTTTTTTTTAGACAGCTAATAGCTCTGGAGAACAGCATTGTTCATATGAATCTCGAATGATTCGGCCGATTCAACGAGTTGTTCAGTACCCGTTACTCCTTCGAGCTATACTAGCGGGATGCGAGAAGGATAGTCTAGAATCAAGACAGGTTTTTTTGGAAAAAACAAAGGAGGATCAATAAAACAATATTTATTCTTGTTAGGTTGAGGCAGCTTTAGAAAAAATGCAAACGTTAGCCGAATATGTGAATGAGATGCAACGAATCCATGAGCAATTTGCTCCTCTGATAGAGTGGATCCGCAAGGAAAAACAATCATTGTTAAACGAAAAAGTATAATACAGTTTCCATATATAGTATATCTCGTGCTTATAGGGAATACGCATCGACATCCGCTATTTAGTAATTTTCGCTCATATCCGATGGGTAAATGGTGATAAAGCTAATCCGGATTATGTCATTTTCGTTTTTCAATCTCTTGTCTTACTCGTTCCTGCAAATATGAAAGGAGAATATAAGGTTGCTTTATCTTTTCGCCACAATAACACCCCTGCTCTTTTCCAGATGAAATACATTCGACTGATTCCTATCAATGAAGTAGAGATTGAGGAAGATAGTCAACCTTCCAAATCGGAAGAGTGTCTTGTTGTACTGTATCATGTGGTAGCCAAGGGAACAAATGCTCAATTGGGCCAAGGCAAGACTTCAGTTTCAATTAGAATTCCAACGTCTTTGTGTTGCAGGAACCACTGAAGCAGTTTATCATCTCGCTTGTTGTCAACAACAAGTCAAACAACACATTGTTAAAAGTATTCGAAAAGCTCGCACGAACTTCATGTTAGTTTTTTGACGTTCTCTTACCAAACTCAAATTCCTACCCATTCTCTCTCACAATCCCTCGCTCTCTCTCTCCCTTTCTGTTTCGGATGAAAAGACAAGTTGTTTTCATTTTCAAAAATTAATGAAATTGAGTGTAAATTTTTAAATTATATTTGCCACGTGAATTGCATTTAAACTAAATTCTTAAAAATTAATTTTCAGTCGCGAAACGAGGAGGCCTTTGAGCGGTTCAAGCCAGTCCGATGGCGGTTACGGAAGTGAAACAACCAAGGATAAAAAGAAATAAGCCTAATGGAGCTATTGAAACTTAGCTAGATCCAAATTTCCGTCATGAAATGGTGCTTTTGACCAAAATCTTATATTTTCCTGGAATATCTTGAGCGGGTTTGTTTTCTCATTCTGCCTTACGTTCACTTCTCTTCAATTATTTTCTTTTTCTTCGTTTTTTTGAAACCATTTTATGAATTTAGTGGAACTATTCAGACATATTTTCTTATTTTCGAATAATAACCGAAGATTCCTCTCTCTTTCTATTATACTTTGTAATGTACATTTCCTTCCCCCATTCTTGCATTAAATGTTTAGATTTTCTAGTCATTTGTGGTCAACAGACCCTAACATAGTCTCATATTCTATCGTCTTTAATAAAACATTGTATGAAACCAATTTTTCTGTTTTGAATCCTTTCAATCCTTACAAAAGCTTGGATAGCTCGGAAGGATAACGGAAATGCACAGAAAATCTCGATCTTTCATAGTTTTTCTATGGAATTCAAAGCATATGCACTTCTGATAACTATTGTATACATACGACAACAACGACCTTTTCACGTAAAACCGTCGCCTTACGTGACAACTCGAATTCGACATTCAAATCATTTTTGAATGTTTGCAGTCAGGAACGGTTGTGTTTGAACATGGACACGTTTCATGTCAGAGACGTAAGTTGGTTGTAGGCTGAAAACATCACAAATGTTCCGAAATATCCTTTCGAATTGATCACAGATGACGTCGATAAATGAAGGAAATGAATGTAATAGACAGCTACAATTACAAAAACCGAGGAATCGAATCAGAGCTAACGGGAATCTAGACACATAAATGGATAAAGCATAATCTGCAGCTGAATATTTGTACAAAAACAATGCTGGCAGAGCAGCAGCTTTTCGGATCAGGTTTATTGGGGTTACAACAACAGGCAAGAAAAAAGAAATAAGAAGGAATGCGAGCTGACGTAACAACTGAAAATCAAATACGACAATAGTATTTGACAGACCAAATGACAAGTGACTTCCTTAGTACAATAACAATTCAATCGATAACTATTTCTCAATCGAACTATGTAAAGCACCTCTTACATGTGCTCATCGTTAGCTATTTCAAATATTTCTCATTCTTCGATGTTGTTAATTATTATTGGTGTTGTGCTGTTTGACTGAAGCTTTAGCATAACGTCTACACGTATGTCAATCAATAAACAGGTTAAGACGAAAACAATCTCGTCATTGCAGAACTTTCAGTTTTACTAACAAAACTTGAGACAAGCTTGAGTAGCTGCACATTCAATAAAGTAGTTGGATTGAGACGCGCGCCAGCACGATTGAGATAGTTTAACTGTCAGACCTTTAATATCCGGGAATGAACAGGCGTCTCGCCATTTGGATACGCTTGAACCTTTTCATGTCTAAATATGTAATAGCATAAAAAGGTCCAAAAGCTGATCAAGGTATATTTACTTTCATTTCTCTGCTATAAAGATATTGTGTTGATTAGTTGTTTTCATAATAATAATATGTTTTCGGTTGAGTTTGATTGCCACCAGCATGTCATTTGAATTGTGTGTGCATGGTTGTGGAAGTTAGAAAATCGAAGAATCAGCTTGGATTCTGGAGTAAGCGGTCAGAGGGCACACATTCGTATGCGTTCTGACCAACTCTTCATGCAAATTGTACTTAGAAGCTGTTGTTGTTATTAGCGTCATTCGTGTTTCGTACAGATGAACTCGTTTTTTTTTCATTTATCTTTTATTTCCGTTCCTTTTATATCTGGCACCAATGTTGCATTATCGTTATCACTACTCTGAGCCCACCTCTCTTTTTTTCCCATTATTATCATGATTGATTGATTTGCAGTATTGTATGTCTTCTGGGCAATCTGATGCTTCTGCTCACATGGATCCGGGTTCTCCTCCCGCTGCTGGTCGCGTTTCAATGAGGTTTGAAACAAATTTTCATAATTGAATGCTTACACGTTATAATTCAAGGGATCTTTGTTGCTTATTTTGTTGTCCTCCTTTCCCTTCCTCAATCGTCTCAAAACTAGCTTTCATGCCACCCGAAGCAAGTTATTCAATTAGTGATACCAATAAGTAAGATCGCATCAATTGTTTGACGTCTCATTTTTCTTGTTGTTAGACTAATTTTACAAAATGGAAGAGCGGAATGGCCACACGGAGATACCAGTCTTACAGAATGTGTTCAAACATGTACTGTTAGGTTTGATTCTATTACAACCATATCTTTCACCAAAAGTTATTCTCAGAACTTCTCGTCGAAACAAAGTAGCCTGTGTAATGGTTAGACCGAATATGGATGCCAATTACACTTTACTATTTTCTCATGGAAATGCTGTTGACTTAGGACAAATGAGTTCATTCTACTATGGCTTAGGCATGAGGCTGGGTTGCAATGTGTTCAGTTACGATTATTCCGGTATTGTATATCAATGTCACCTCTCTGAACACATGCTCGTTAAAGGTTATGGCTGCTCCACGGGTAAACCCTCTGAGAAAAACTTATACGCTGATATTGCGGCGGCTTTCGAAACATTAAAGACTAAATTCGGTGAGTTTCTTTATACTTTCATCTTTAATGAAGTGTTCTATTGAGGCATTCCTCCCGAGCGTATAATTCTTTATGGTCAATCGATTGGCACAGTTCCAAGCGTAGACTTAGCTAGCAAAGAGAACGTAGCTGCTTTGGTTTTACATTCGCCTCTAATGAGCGGAATGAGGGTAGCTTTTCCGGGTACATCAAGAACATGGTAATCCCCAAAATGGATGCACAAATACTCAAACTATTCTAATTTAGGTGTTGCGATGCTTTTCCTTCAATAGAGAAGGTCCCGAGAGTCAAATGCCCTACTTTAGTAATTCACGGAACGGATGATGAAGTACGTAGCTTTCAACTTTGCAAATCCAGCCTTGGATGCTGTTGTCCCATCCTGAATATGTAATGTCTTTTTTGCTTCCAGGTAATCGATTTTTCACATGGAGTTACAATTTGTGAAAGATGTCCTTCATCTGTTGAGCCCCTCTGGGTACTAGGTTAGTTTTTCTACTCTCTCTCTCGTCCAACTTTTTTTTTCAAGGAGCTGGTCATAACAACGTTGAGTTGCATGCGGAATATTTAGTTAGGCTCAGGACATTCATAGATACCGAAGTGACGCGATCAAAAGATGAAGGAGATGTGTAATGTTGGCTGAGTAGGTCCGGAATGTTTTTCAGTCGTTTATACAAGCGCAGGGGTCTGTAGCATATATAGCTCAATGGCTCAACACGGGTCGAGTTTTGTCTTCTTCACAACCACACATATACCTACGAAAAAAAGCAGCAAATAGCGACGAGAGTTACTTTTAGTCTTCTTATACGGCTTTTCCGAGCTTATATATGCTCTGAGTGCTATTCGTACACATCCCACACTTCCCTTCTTTCATAAACAAGTTTCATTGATTGTTGCCGATCATTGACTGCTCTTATTAGATTCTCATTTGCCCATTCTACATCCCAAATAAGTATGGTTCACCTATGTTATGATAAGTTATGAAGTGGCTCTAGCCATTTGAGGATTTTTTTTTCTTTCAATGAGTTCTCCTTAGGATGATTGTGTCATGTAAATAGTTTGTTGCATCTTCCGCGAACGTGATAAAACTTTATTAACAATAACAAATAACAATAAGTTTCAGCAGCTAAACTGTTAATAACAAGACACTCAATTCGAGAAACACCCTTCTTGAAATTGCTCATAGATATCCAACAAATATTTTTCCGTACGAGGAACTATGGCTTTGAATGCTTCCTCGAAGTGTGACCAACACACATTTACAGCATTGATATCTTCCCGCATAGCAACTAATGCTGCATGTCGACATAGGGCGACTAACTCTGCTCCTGAATAACCTGAAGAAAATGAAAGCAAATTGAATATTCTGCTTCATGTTCTTCATACCTTCTGTTTTCTTCACAACCATTTCAATATCCACATCATCATTCAATTTCATTTTACGCATTCGCATATTCAGAATGGATACTCTAGTTGAGGGAGTCGGCAAGCCAACATGAATCGAACGATCGAGACGACCTATGATAACAAACTCGTTACTCGTATGTTTCAGCACTAACTAACCTGGACGCAGTAAAGCAGAATCTAATTGATCTGGACGATTCGTGGCTGCTAGAAGAATAACTCCACTAGCTTTTTCCAAGCCATCAAGCTCGGTCAAAAGTTGAGCGAGTACTCGATCAGAGACTCCAGAACTTTTCTCTGATCCTCTCGAAGCACCGACAGCATCGATCTCATCGAAGAATACAATAGTCGGAGCTACTTGTCTTGCTCTCGCAAAAAGCTCTCGAATGGCTTTTTCAGAGTCACCGACCCATTTACTAAAAAGCTCAGGACCTTTTACAGCCAAGAAATTCATTTTGGACTCATTAGCAAGAGCTCTAGCAACTAATGTTTTACTGCAACCGGGAGGTCCGTAAAGTAGAATTCCTCAAAATATGAGAATATGTGAGTTATAGTTTCCAAATGTACCTGCAGGTGGATCAATTCCAAAGCGTTCGAAAACTTCTGGATGTTGTTGTGGCCATATGACAGCCTGGAAAAACGGTTTTCTTGATTGCATGAAACAATATACAAACTTGTTGGATTTCGAATTTCAATTCTTCGTTTCCTCCAATATCTGACCATTTGACATCAGGAACCTAAAATACGCTCATGAGAAAATGAAGAAATTCATTCCTACCTCCAGAATGAACTGCCGAATACCAGTAGGTCTGACCCGTTTCCGAGCATTCTCCAGTTTCTCAGAGATATCAGATCCTTTGGCAAATCGTGAAGCAACCACTACTGAATTCAAGTCGCTCCCAGTGAATCCATGCGTTCTTCTATAAACGTATTAAGAGGTAATACATTTAGAATTTATTTTCCCAAACCTGGCGAGTTCTCTCATGGCACCGTCAACAGGTTGTTGGAGCAATATAGACAAAATCTCTAACCGATCCGACTCGATGGGCACTGGAATTTCCACCTGGGAAGGTTTGTTGCATGAGTGATAAAACGCATAAACAGTTACCTCTATAGGGAAACGTACACGAACACTAAGTTCTAGATCCTCTGCTTGCTGAATTGCCAGAACCACAGCAGCAACCTGAGGGAATTGTTCTATTTTTAAAAAACTTCAGTATAATCTACTTTTCCATTTCTCAGTAATCGATTGATCGCAGGATAGCCTTTGTGATCCTTCTCCAACAACGGGATATCCAATATCACTATAGATTCCGGAGCTATCAAGGTGTTCCTCTCGTGGAAATCTTCTAATGACTGAAGTGATCAGGAAGTACGGAAAAGTCAGAGTTTAGAGACATACCTCAAAGTAGTAAGCACAATTTCCCAAAATTTGAGCTAATTGCTTCAGCAGTAATGTCTTTCCTGAGCCAGGCAAACCCCACATCAAAACAGAACAAGCTGTCCTACTTCTGAAATAATGAGTAAGTAACAGTTGCGAAAAGGCACTATGCATACATTCTGAACGGTTTGATGATATTGTCCATGAGAATCTGTTTAACCTCACCCATTCCTCCTATTTGGGTGAATACAGGCTCGATAGCTGATCCTGGTGGAGTTGATGAGTCAACACCATCGAAGCAAAGTGTACAATCACTCTCTACATAAAGCACAGGAGTGGAAGGAATCTAAGCAATCAGAATGGTGTAATTAAGATTCGGAAGAATCATTTTACCTCTCCTTCACACAGAGACATATTATTGATTGAATCTTCCAAAGGTAATTCAGGCATAAGTTCAATACTATTTCCATAATATCTGACATTGATAGGGATATCAGGGACCACATATGAATGACTCAGGTACATCTATAACCGAACACTCTTCTATCAGTCAACAACAGCAACTTACTTCCAAAAACTCCCGCAATGCTATATCGGATCTATATTGATCTGGAACTCGGATTTGAAGTCTCTTCACCTTCTTGAACTCCCAAATAAGTTCCATGGTAGCGAAAGCATCAATCTTGATATCTTTCGAAGCGAAACCGATTTTCATAACACCTAACTGAAGCTCCATTTATTTGGGACGAAGATTTGGACTTGCCTCCTTGCATGGCCAAATTGTTCCAATTATTGTCCTATCTCTGGTTGTCAACTTGACTGGTTGTCGAGGAAGAGCGCCCAGTAACTCCATTGTTTGAGGACTTATCAATATGGAATTTGTTTTTGTCCATCCTATTCCATCAGGGGGTAAGTAATCTGAGTTAATAAATGAGTTCATCAAGGATTGTTGATCAACATACCGTTCATTCTCTCGATGACTGTTATAAATCCTTTCATAGCGATACGATTTCGAACAAGAGAAATCTGATGAAATTCTGTACATTGGGACACGAAAAGCTTCACTCACCTCCCATTCTTCCAATGATTTTTTACAAAAATCGTGATGTCTCTTCTCATCTTTTATCAGAAAGAAGTATCCACAAGCTTCGCAATTGCTTATGGATGTTACCTTCTTTTTACCCGACATTGAGATAACTGGAAAGAATTGCGAAATCAGAGTATATGAACGAAGAAATCTACAATCACATGGAAAAGAAAAATACAATTAGAAATAAAGAACAAAATGGCGGAAAACGACAAGTATAGCAACCTTCTGCAGTGTCCAAGTAGTCCAAATGAACACAATGCATTCAAATTTATGCTAATCAGTCGCGAATTCATTTTTGAAAGTAGAGATATACGTTATGAGCTATTAAAGATGAAATTTTTGGAATTTCGAAATATATGCTAAAGTATTTCAGAAATAGCACTCAGAACCTGTATTAACAAGAAAAACAAGAAGTAAGAGTTAGCATGATGCTGAAGGCACGTAAACGTCAAGCAAACATGTGAGGAACTGACCCAGAACACTCGAACGAAATACGGAACAGAAAAATAGACGGCTATATATCAAGCAGGCGCTTCATTGAATACGCTCAGAAATGAGCATATACTAAAATTGGAACAATACAGAGAAGATTAGCATGGCCCCTGCGCAAGGATGACACGCAAATTCGTGAAGCGT